TGTTATCACTTTTATCCCCACTGGTTAGTTCTTCCTGTGTTTAAACATCATGTAAGGAGAGTAACAAGTAGGTGTCATTTGTCTGGTGTCTTTTGTTCAACATTATGCCCAGAGATCTTTAGAGATGAGCAGAGTACTATCTGCTTAAGAGGTGACAGGGCTGACCTGCTTGTTGGCTGGTGCTATGCCTATCTCTAAAAACACCCAGCACATTGAGGATCTGTCCAGTCTGGTTACTGTGCATAAGAGAGGTGATAGAGTTGGAGCATTTCTCAAAGGAATTAGAAAGGCCTAAAACTGGATGCCAGCATTCCTGCTGAATAGCTTTGCTAGCTCGTTGCTGAAWACGGCCAAGCTTAAGGAACTCCTTCACAGCCCTGGGATTCAGAGGGCAGACAGCAAGACTGGGTGACAGCAGCTAGTGCTTGTGCCTTAACACATTTACTCCCCCTTGCCCACCTCCACTTTCTACCAGCTCAAGCCCCACCCCTTCTCTCCAGCCCAGACTGTTCCAGTCTCTGCACGCCCTTGCCACACCCTGGACAGCTCAAACCCTCACCACCCTGCAAAGGGCATGGCAAAGGAGGAAGGTGACAGTTCCCGAAAGGCTACAAGGAAAAAACACCGGGAGTCGTAGAAGTTGGGTGGGTGGGGACAAAATGCACTTGGGAGCGGGAAGCAAAGGACTAATTAAGCCACAGATAGAGAAATCTCTGTTGTAAATATCCTGAAGCACTGTGAGGGGTTGAGACAGAGGCACTTTTGTCCAAGACAAGTTTATGAAGAGATAATGTGGGAGAAGAGGATGGGATAGGCTGTCTTCTGGAGGTTGTCAGTTTGGAAACCAGAGTCCCTGCTGGCCACAGTGTTGGGTACCGAACCTCACACCTCCTTTATATGTTCATTGAGAGAGTATTCACTGAAGCACCACTGCCTACCCAGCACTCCAATAGGCGTCCTTGCTAAAGTAACAAGTTCCTTGATAGGTTCTTCTTTAGCCAGCAGAATAAATAAAAGTATCAAAAGTTTCCAGGAGCAAGTTTGGAGTTGAGGGGGTAGCTCAGTGGTAGAGTTCTTGCTTTAGCATGCATGTGGCCCTGTGTTCAATCCCCACTACAAAAATATTAAAAAGAGAGGGAGAGAGGGAGCTGCCAAACCTGATTTGCATTTACAACTGTCACTCTAGCAGTGGCCAAGGCAAAGAAGGGCCCAGCTGCAGTGACTGCGAAGGGGCAGAGGGAGAGAACCCCACAAGCTAGGTGGGAGAGGGAACCTAAGCAAAGAATGGGTACTATGGTAAGCGCCCGGGGAAGGCAGAGCTTAAAGAAGCTGGAAACCCTGGACACAGAGACTCGGGAAAGGAGGACTCAAACCTACCTTAGGGTTCCTAGCCAAGGAAACTGACAGAGTAAGGGCCACTTGACAGAGTAGTGGGAGGCAAGGTGGGCAGATCTGGTAAGTGGAGATAAGAAGAGCACTATATTGTGCCTACTTCCCCCAGGATCCAAGCATCTCTTGTCCACGGCCTCCTCCCTGGCAGGCTTCCAGTGGGTGTTGTGACTTAAGGGTAGGAACTAAGAAGTTGAGAGGCAGGAACAGGCCATAAATATCTCTGACTCTGCTCACATCTTTCAGACAATCCTCAGAGCCCTATCAGGACCTGATCCAGCTCCAGATCCTGGGGAACTAAGAACCATGCTGAGCTTCTGTGAGTACCCAGAGGGAGCCCACAAGGCCAGGATTCTGGGCCATCCCTCTTCCTC